CCACGCCTCAGCAGTTTTCTTCCATGGCGTCAATGGTGCTGGGAGGCTGTTAAGAGACGGGAAGAGATCTACTATCCACGCGCCGACCTGACCGGCAATAGTGAAGTTCTTGAGACACTCGTGACTGGTCTGAAGTTGCCATTCGTCGCCGGTGATGATGCGCATACCGAAGGTGATGGAATATACTATGCTCGCCGCAAAACGCTCAAACTCCTTGGGGAAGTCGTTTGATTGAAGAAGGTTCTTCAAGAGCTGTTTGCTCTCTAGGTCCTGAATTGCCGTGTAACAGGCTGACGCACGCGGGCTGAGCACAGGAGCTTCTAGTCGTTGGTGCAAGAGAAAGTCACCATCGAATGGCTTGAACATTATGTGCTTGCTCTTACACGTCAACTCTTGTGCCATGACCTTGGAATATCAGGTCGCCATTACAGCTGTCGGCAGAACGGACTTGTGACTTACCATGCGTGGCCGACTACTGTAGATCATTGCCTTCTTGTCGAGCAGATCTTTGGCCACCTCGTGGTCTCCAATCAATATCACATTGGTGCCGCCGAAATTGAGGTACACAAGAGGACCATACTGTTCCACCCATCTCTGGTATGTAACCCAGACTGCTTCTTTGGGAGCCTGGTGTAAGTTGCCGAGAATGGGCAGACGAGGCGGTCCTGGAGGTAAATTCGAGTCTTGTCGTTTACGGAGCCAGAGGTACAATATTGCTAACAGACTGACAACGAATAGGACTGTTGGTGATAATGTGGCCATTGTGACTGGTTTGGAGTGGTTTATATCCAGAAATTCGAGGCATGAGGGAAGGCGCTGTTTATCCGAAGATGCGATACAAGGCGTTGACGGGGCATGTTTCGAGCTTTCGGCGCCTCATCTCAGGCGACCTCGGGAGGCTTCGATACGTCCCGCTCCCTGAATTTGAGTGGGGCGGACGCCGGCCCGTCCTCTGTCACAGCCAATGACAGTGCGTGTGGCTACCGGGTTAATACGAGCGTACCCAGGTAGCGTCGTGTAGGATTGCGGCACAGCTTGAGCCGCCAAATCATGAAAGCTCATGAGACGCTTCTACAGTACTTTCGGCAGGTAGGAAAGTGTGACGCGCCAGAAATCATACGGCGCAAGCTTGGCATACCTGAACGAGCGATAGCACGCTCGAAGGACCCATACTTGGGACCCAGTATGTCCAGGAGCAGTATGTGAACGATGCTCTGCCCTGCGAAGTGTCTTTTGAGTGCCATTACGATGTATTCGAGGTTTTTCGCTGCTCCTTTCCGCCGACATGCATGATTATCGAAAAGTCCTCAATGTTGTTGGGTGGACGCTGGTCTCCTTTTCGTCCATCTTCGTCTTAGCGCGATCATATACACGCGCACGAATCGTGACGACGACTCTGGGCTGGGACGACTGGTGTATGATTGCTGGCCTGGTGAGTTCGACTTTAGATCTCAGTCCTACATTCGATTGCCATTGACTTACTCGAACATCAGATCTTCGCTGTAGTGTGTACATCGCTCGTAACAGCCGGCACTGCACACGGCCTTGGACAACATGTATGGGACATCAGCGATCCAGAAGATCAGGCAGTGGCTACTATGTACGTGCTGTTAGCGCCTTGCTTCTCCATCGTCAGCGCCTTCTTCACGAAAGCCTCAATTATCATCGCACTAATGAGAGTAAGTACACAGGACTATGCAATGGACGTGACTCTCAGCTTACCAGCCTAGATCCGAGGACACACGGCGCGTCTATCGCACAAGTGTATCGCGTACGCCCCTCTGGTCGTCCTACTGATCGCCTCCACACTCTCATGCTCTGTCATGATTTTCTTTTGTTCGCCCGTACAGAAGTCCTGGAAACCGCAGATGGAGGGCACATGCTTGAGCCCCGCAATGCTGGATGTTATCGGAAAGTCTGTCTCAGGTATGTTGGAAGAATGCCAATGTCTCTGCCATGTGCTGAAGCCTCAGTGTATAACGCGATGATGGACGTCTTTTGCGCTATAATGCCATACTTCATCATAAGGACTTTGAACATTCCTCGGAAAGACAAGCAAAATCTTGTAATACTGATGGGTGGTAGCATCCTGTAAGGTCACCTCGCCGCACTGTTGGTGCAATTACTGACGTTGGCAGTGGCACATTCGCAACCATCATGAAGATCATAGCAATGGGCAGCATCTCTAATGTCGCGGACATGACACACTCTTGGTCAGAGATAACGATCTGGTATCTGTGAGTGTAGTGTTATTGATCACAAGGGACCTTGACTCACTCAAGCAGGACTGAAAACAATGTTCTCATGATTGCTGGATGTTTCCCTGCCCTGCGGCCGTTCTGGCGTGTTGTGATTGGCAAATATAGCTCGTACCTCTCGTCGAACGCATCACGCAAAACTCCTCCACGAAGCGAAAACGGACGATCGACCGAAGACAAAGAGCTGCAAGTGTACACGGTGGGATCGCAGCCCAAATTGGGGAAGAAACCCAATCTGTATTCGACAACAATCCGCGTCAGTAGTGAAGAAAGGTTGTGTCCCGGATTAGACGGAACTTCTGTGGAGACCATTGAGAGGATCCTGCATAACCATGGAGACGAGCGCTTCGAGCGTCAGGCCTGCATTGCCAGCACTCGGACAGGTGGAATATCGCCCAGCGATTGCACGAAAATAACGGTTACTAGTGAGGTAGAGATCAAGTGAAAAGCGTATCCAATTGTTTCATGCGAAATTCCTGTGTTCGTGGCATGCCAGTAGCGCCCAGCACTGCGAGTTTTGAAGGATCGCGAGGGAAAACTAATTCTCAAGATTCTGTGGTCGTATGTGGAAGATAAGCTCGTTGTGAAAGGATATATTGGCGGTGGACGGTGGGCGAAAGACCAAATCGCTTCCCAACATCAAGGCAACTCCTGCCCCGTCCTCCCGTCCATCTCATATCTCGCCCTCTCCTGTTCCAACTCAGTACGCCCATCGGGTGGTGCTTCGTGCGTGGAATCCTGCATATCCTTCGGAGCAGCATGGGCCTGATGCATGGTTGTGTCCATGGCCGGTTTCTGCAGTGCTCTTCTCTTCTTGCGCTCGCGGAAGAAGAGCCAAGCGAGCAACGCAATGATGATTATAGCAGCAGTTGCGCCGACGCCGATGCCTGCTCCTGCGCCCGCCGATATACCACCGCTCGACGATACATCGGATTGATCTGTGGTGTTGGTTGCTGTTGGAGACGGTGCGCTGGTGGGTGTAGAGGCCGCTGCACTACCGTCCGAGGATGCGGGTGTACTTTGTGAATTGGTGGAGGTTGTCGCCTCTGATGCTGCGACGCCTTGTGAAGCAGTGGCCGTACCCAAGCTGGCTAGTATACCTGAGCTATCGACCTTCCACCACATTGGCGTCTTTGTCGCGTCTGAATCTTTGTCTTGTGCGTCGCTTACTTCTCCAGTCAGCGGGTTGACATAGCGCAGTTGAGATAGCCCGTCTGTGCAACAGCGATCATTCCCATAACACACGACGTTCTCTCCGCATGATATTAGTCCTATCCCTTGCCAATCTTGTTCTAGAAAATCCTCTTAATAGTGCTCTGTATGAAGACTTAGACTGTATGGACTCACCGGGAAACAAGTCACTACAGCCCGTCCAGTTCTTGTCGGCGCAATATTGCCGGCCAATGTTTCCTGATCTTGTACACAGCAAGTTGCTGCCGCAACTTTCGCTCCATAAGCAACAATTGTTCGTGCCCTTGCCACATGAGACTAATTCATCACTAGTCGGGTTGTTAGATTGGAAAGTCTTGCCTATGAGAAGCGCACGTTAGCAATAGACAGAAGGGCCTATGATGGCAAGACACTTTTAGTTCGGAAGTACGGATGCATACGCACCATCGCGTGAGTAACAATCGGCCCAAACGCCTGCTGCCAAAGTGAAGGATATTACCTGCTGTAGAAGGCGCACACGCATCGCAACGTATAAGGGAGTTAGACGACGAGGATGGCAAGGAGAGGAATGACGAACAAAGGCGAACGGACTCGTCAGGTAGTTAATTAAATAAGACAGACCGATGTAGGCAACCTGTGTCACAGCCCTACGCAGGGCGTAATTGTAAGATTCGGAATAGCGCTTAGGTTTGGCCCCCAGATCCATCTACTTACCCAAGTAGAATCGTCTAATTTGGGATTCAGCCGTGCTGATCTGTGCCAATAACAAGATGATGCTGTGCCGGATATAAAGGTGTTCTCTGAGTGTAGCGCCCCACGGCCTAAGAAACTGGGGTGGGATGAAGTCCCGGGCGCGCAATGGGAAGTGCGCTGTTGTGGCGCGTCAGAAGGGCAGATGACTGCAGATTAGCCAATTGTTGGTCCTGATCGTAAGAGCCACCCAATAGAATAAGATCGTACGAGGCGCCCAATAGAATAAGACAAGTAAATGAAATGGTACCGATGGGAATCTGACGCGAGAATATGCGTGATCATCCATGCGCAGCTTAAAAGAAGTCCTATGCGAAAGGGCTTCGCATCTGTCAAGGAATAACACAAGGAAATTGGCCTGTGGTTACAGTCCCATCAGAAGGCTAAGTCGGTGTTTTAGGTGCTTCCGAACTGCATTGTATGTTGTGTAGAGAATGTAAGGAGAGAAGGAACCATGGACCAGCGGGAGCCAGTCAGCGTGTGGCTGAATAATCCGACAAACGTCATATTTCGTTTGGCCCGAGTTCCCGAACTTTGATTCACGAACCTACATACCTCGCCATTGCGACCACACCACCCTACCCACCAAACATACCATCCACACCTATACAAAAGATGGCGTCAACCACAATCCCACGTTCTGCCATGCGCAGCCTGTCCCGAGCGACACCGTCTCTACGCTCCGCAACACCGCGCATCGCCACGAGATGTCTGCACCAGCAATCATCGCCCATCACAGCTTCGAGATTGCAACATAGACCGACCGCACAGCCATGGAGTCACAGATTAGTAGCTCCATCAGCGACAGTCGTGCGACGAACCATGTTCATCCAAACCGAGCCAACACCAAACGCCGATGTACGCACTCCCTCTAACCCAAATCCTACCCCATACTAACTCCCCCAGGCCCTAAAGTTCAACCCCAACCAGCGCGTCCTCCCCGAAACAATCTCCTCCCCCTTCCTCGAATACCTAAACCCACGCTCCACACTCGCGCCACCACACCCCTCCCCGCTCGCCGCGCAACTCCTCAACATCGACGGCGTGACCAGCGTCTTCTTCGGCGCCGACTACATCACCGTAACCAAGGACACATCCACACCCTGGTCGCACGTGAAGCCTGAAGTTTTCGCCCTCATCAACGAATACATGACGTCCGGCCAACCCATCGTCAACACCGTCGCCTCCAAGCCCGGCGAGCAAGGCCAAGGCGGCCAAGAAGCCGACTCATTGGCCTACGACGAAAACGACGACGAAGTCATCGGCATGATCAAAGAGTTGCTAGATACCCGCGTCCGCCCCGCGATCCAGGAAGACGGCGGCGACATTGAGTTCCGCGGCTTCAACGACGGACAAGTTATGTTGAAGCTGAGGGGCGCATGCAGGACCTGCGATTCGAGTACCGTGACGCTCAAGAACGGGATCGAGAGCATGTTGATGCATTATATTGAGGAGGTCAAGGGCGTGCAGCAGGTGCTGGACCAGGAGGAGGAGATTGCGTTGCAGGAGTTTGCCAAATTCGAGGAGAAGCTTAGGCAGCAGAAGGGGCCGGATGCGACGAAGGGGACTGTGGGGAAGGGAAGTCTGGATTATGTGGAGTAGGCTAAGACTGGGGGTGTTGAGAGGATTGGACATTGACCATGTGATACCAATGCATTCATTCTGCTGTTGTTCGGCGTCTGCGATGGGATGTGTAGTGTGAAGTTGCAGCCAAGTTTAGACTTTTGCCAACGGCGTGGTATATCCACCGGGGTATGCAATGTACCGCTTATTAAACTGTTATGATCATGTCATAGAATTCAGTATATAAGAGTAGCGTTTCGCAAGTAACCAAGTATACTACATAAAAAAAAAGAAGAGAAACAGTAATCATGCAATGCCAATCATCAACGATAAATGGGTATCCAGAACGTACCAATGCTGTTGCGTCAAAGGAAGAAACCAGAGAACGAAAAGGACAACGCCACTCATATGCTCACAACATAACCCAAAGTCTTTCCACAACCGTTCGTAATCCAAATGCAACCACCTCCTCTTTCATATGCAAAACCGCCTCTTCATCCTTCATCATTCATGGGCTCTGGCAACGGCCGTAAATCATCGTAAATCTCAATGTAACATCCAAATGCGTGATTCCAAGATCGTCGTTATAATCGTCAAATGCAGTGTCGGTCGTAGGCAAATGTTCGTAGCCCAAATCGTTCAAATCATTCCTCCAAGAGCAAATTCGAAACCGCATCCAGTGCTTCGCCCATGGAGCCCCAGAAGCTGCGTCGGGGAGGCGATCGGATGATGGTAATAACCTTCCGCTTGGGCGATGACGGCTCTTCAGTGATGAGAGTGTCGACGGTATCGCGTAGTAGTTTGGAGTATTCTTCGTGAATCTCTCGGGATAGATCTTCTTCCTCGACGAGCGTCATACAGCTGTCTAGCATCCCGAGCTCTTTCGATGTGTCGTTGTTGTCGTCGTGTACTGATTCGTCCGACTGTAGCGCCTCGCTCTTTGCGCCGAAATCCGACCAGACAGATTTCGTGAGATCGTCATGATGGTAGCTTTTGTCCAGCTCCTCGCGCATACTCTGGCGGACGGATCTCATCTGCTTGCGCAAGTCGTTGATGATGTCGGTTTGAATGCGGTTCAGTGTTTTGAACTCGTCCATGCGCGTCTTGAGGTCGTAGATGTACTTTTGCACGCCCGCGATGTAGTTGCCTACTTGCGAAACATAAGCTTCGTGGTGCAACGTTTTGGCTTCAAGTTGTTGTTGCTCACCCTCTGCTTGTGTGATGATGGCGAGTTCCTGACTAGAGTCGGAGGAGGGCTTGTCGTCGTGTGTCGCTTCGGTTTGGGCTCCGCTGGGCGAGGAGAGGTGCGCGGTCATGGCTTCGAATTGTCCGACGATGTACTCCATTTGCTCTTCGTCGGGGTGGTGTGTCTGGATGAGGTTCTCGAAGTGTGCGATGCAGGATGAGAGCGCATTCTGTACGGGCGATGAGGATGTCTCCGAGTCGTCGTCCCATGGTGTCGGTGAGGCGGGGAGTTCGGTGTTGTTTCGACGCAGTATGCGCGAGCTATCAGGAGTGTAGGGATAGCGCGGTTCGCCTTGACTTTGCTGATGCGATGCATCGTCATAATACGGCCGTGTGGGTGTGTATGGTGCTGGCTCAGTAAGTCTTGAGCTGGGTTTTGGTCGCGGTCCTGTCGCAGGTGTATTCAATCCGAAGCTATCTGTGACCCAAGAAGGATGGTCAGGCGACCGACTGGCCTCTTTCAGCCAGCGCTGCTCGGTCGCGATAGGATATCGTGGAGGAGAGGTGCCGTAGATGTTGAAGTAGTCTGCCTTGTCTTCGAGTTCCGGAGGGGTCCATGGCCGGTCTAGGGTGCGAGGAATGTCCATTGCGCTTTCGTGGCCGCGCGATGGCCACATCCTCCTCTTTGCTTCCAAAATAATGCGCGCGCAATCCAAAGGCTCTCAGAGGTAAAATGTAGCTCCAACAGCGATGCGCTCTGGTGTTGAAGAGAGCGGACACCTGCGTAAGCGCGGGAGACGGGAGAAGGCTGGTCACCGCTTGTGACGTGCGTGCATCGCCGAGGCCTGCGGAGATCTAGTGCGCCAAGGAATCTGCTATCGATAACATTTTGTGGCCCCTCCGATTGGCCCAAGAATCATCAATTCTGGCTTCAATACACATTACGAGGACTGTATTTCACACGTTCTTCTGTCTTACCGCTTATCAGACGCTTTGTAAACGCATCCTTCATTTCCTACAAAGATGGCGTCACAGGTATGTCCATGACTCCACACACGGCTGGCTACAGAACTGAGCGCATGACCACTTAGCTAGGCGTTCAGCCATCGCTTGACACCATTCGAGAGGTATTGGCTGCAGCAGTCAAGTCGCCCAACCCACCGAACCTCGTGCCCGTTTTCTCCTCGATACCCGCCGAATTCTTGACCCCGTCAAGCATATACCTAAAGATATCCGCAAAGTGAGTGTGACTCATTTCATGCGATGTGGACTGGAGGGGTTGGGTCGCGTCGAAGAAACGCTGTCAGAAACGACTGTCAGAAGCGGGAGGGGTTGGATCGATTGCGCACATGCTAATCGTGGGTGTCAGATCCAAGTCAAGATTATCCTTCCTATTCGAGAGTGCTGCGACAACCGAGACCATAGGGCGGTATAGCTTCATTGGCGCAGGTCGGTACTTGAACAAACTTCCGGCATACACAGCTGACAAGCTTCAGACCCTCGCAAAGTCATCAAGACCGGCCCGGGCCATGGCGAAGAAACCGATCCACTACCCCTCCTCGAGAAGGAACTCGCGAAGAGCCGCGTCGCGACCGTACCCTCGATACAACTACCTCCTATGACCGGCGGCGCGGTGGGATATGTTGGGTATGACTGCGTCAAATACTTCGAGCCAAAGACACGGCGAGATGACATGAAGGATGTGCTGGGTGTACCGGAGAGCTTCTTCATGCTCTTCGACACCCTGGTAGCTCTGGACCATTTCGCGCAGGTCGTCAAGGTCATAACGTACGTCAAGGTCCCAGACAGCATGGACGACCTAGAACAAGCGTACGAGGAAGCGAAGAGTACACTAAAGAAGTACATGACGATACTCAAGGACAAGGACATCCCGCTGCCGGAACAAGGGCCTATCCAGCTAGGCCATCAGTACACATCGAACATTGGCCAGGAGGGGTACGAGAACCACGTCAAGACATTGAAGAAGCACATTGGTGTCGGCGACATCATCCAAGCAGTACCTTCGCAACGGTTTGCAAGGCCGACATCATTGCACCCTTTCAACGTATACCGGAACCTCCGCAACGTCAACCCCTCACCGTACCTCTTCTTCGTCGACTGCGACGATTTTCAGATAGTGGGGGCAAGTCCCGAGCTGCTGGTAAAAGAGGAGCAGGGTCGCATCATCACGCACCCCATTGCCGGCACAGTGAAGCGGGGCAAGACACTGCAAGAAGATGCAGCACTCGCAGACGAATTGTCCAACTCGCTCAAGGACCGGGCCGAACATGTGGGTTGCCTGACATCAAAGTGCATGCAGCGACGTTGGAAGCTTACATTGTGCTGTACAGGTTATGTTGGTCGACCTGGCTCGCAATGACGTCAATCGCGTGTGCGACCCACTTTCGACACGAGTTGACAAGCTAATGGTTGTCCAAAAGGTGAGCAGCGTTCCGTCCGAACCGTGATTACCGTGGATCATGCGATGAGCTACCGTGCGATGATATCAAGCGAGCGCTATGATATCAAATTGATGGCTATGCTAACTGCAATCAAAACCAGTTTTCCCACGTGCAGCACCTGGTCTCGGAGGTGTCGGGGGTGCTGCGACCTGGCAAGACACGATTCGACGCGTTCCGCTCCATCTTCCCAGCTGGTAGGTAGCGCGTTCAAAAAGTTGGAAACGTCGCTAACCGGGTACAGGCACGGTGAGCGGTGCGCCCAAGGTGCGTGCTATGGAGCTCATTGCTGAGCTGGAGCGGGAAAAACGCGGTGTATATGCTGGCGCGGTGGGATACTTTGGCTACGGCAGTATTGATGGCGACAAGGAGATTGAAGGTGCCATGGACGTGAGTAGTCTTGCCTTGTTCCAGGTTGACAGGAGGCTGATTTTTGCAGACATGCATTGCGCTAAGAACCATGCTTGTCAAAGATGGCATCGCGTATCTCCAAGCAGGGGTAAGTTTAACGAATTCCCTGCTTTAGCTGCAAGACACGAGACTAATGATTGGCTGCAGGGTGGCATAGTTTTCGACTCGGACCCCTACGATGAGTGGATGGAGACGATCAATAAGTTGGGTGAGCTTAATTATTCCTTTTGTCGTCTTCCCCGAGTCAAACGCACAGAGCTGACCGCTGTTTGGTAGGCGCGAACACGCACTGCATCACCTCAGCTGAAGAGAAGCATCTGGCCGAGCAGCAGGAGGCGGGCGAAGGGGACAGAGACGGGTCGGCGCCGAAGCTGGAGGGCGATGCAGAGGCGCGCATTTCTCTTGCGGCTTGATGCTGCGGCTTGATACTGCGGCTTTAGACTGCGACATGCGCCACAAGTGGTATTTGCCGTAGGGTGGGTGGGTGATTGGCAGCTGTTGGCCCGGTGAAGAGCGATCTATGGGCCTGGATCTCATCCAGCCCCCCTGCACTCGTGGGGAAGCGAGATTCGTGGGTTCTTGGTAGCTTTGTGAAACGGAAATGAAAGGGCGGGTAAGACTCAAGCGGCAGCCGCTATCTCGACGTCACGACGACTGGTAGTGCTTGAATGCACACAAGATTTGATTAATTTGGTAGCCCGTCACACCAGCGCGAAGACAGATTGTGCGCAGCGACGGTCGAGCTCGGGCAGGATGCTGTGTGAAAGCGTGACTGTGGAGCTGGAAGGCATGACGAAGGTGACGGAGCGGATACCACAGTCGAGCGAGTCGCGACGAGAAAGCTGGTTCGACATGTGAGTTGTACATGCACGTTCGGATATCGGCCCTGGGGTGTGGTTGGCGTGGCTACATCATAGGGTAGGTGCGAGGCGGCATTGGCCAATGGGTGCGCAGGGGACCGGTCGTGCATTCCGACTTTCCCTG